CCACTAAATCAAGAATGAGGAGCTGTTTGTGTTCAGAGAACTCTCAGATTTAACTCACTTTGACAGAGAGGCACTGATTTTTCTCTCATACTTTGAGGAGACACGTTTAGACTTGTGAACGTGTCGACTGAAGGCGTCTGAGGGATTTTCTTTTTCCTTTGGTTCTTCTGTCTGACAGGTGCACACACTCAGGATCAAACCTGGTTGTAGTTCACTTTGACTAAACACAAAACATCACGTTCCTGAGCTCCACTAACAAACACCAACTGAGCTTTACCCGGTATTTCCTGCATAGAAACAGCGTTCTAACATGTCCTCTTATAAACACTGAAAAGTACTACGAGTACAACTGACTACATGGGAAATAAATACAGAAATACTATTAAAAGTAAAAATTAGAGTTTTACTCACTGAGTTGTGGTGAGTAGCTGCCGTTTTGAATTCTGAACTCTCCCACTTTCCAATGGGAAATTCCCACTAGTCACAGTTTAAATTTACAACTTGTAAGTGGAAAATTCCCACTTCCCAGGTCAACTGGGCTGCAGCAAACGTAGTCAGTGACAATGTAGCAAACACTGCAAATTTCCCACTAGGAGGGCATTCCAGTTTAAATTTACGACTTATTAGTAGTAAATTCCCACTTCCCAGTACAACTGGTCCACAGTGAAAATGCAGCAAAAAGCCTAATCAACATGCATTATGGGAGATGTAGTTTGTTGTTTTAAACTGCTTGTTTTAACACATAAATACATCTTTGAAGCTCTCGCTGGCCACATAAAATGCTGTGGCCGGCCACATTTTGGCCTGCAGGCCTTGAGTTTGTGCTCTAAGACAATGGTTCCCAAATTTTTCAGCTTTTGTCCTACAAAATAACAACAACAGAGACCTGAGCCCCCAACTGTTGATAAACATTGGTATCAGGTCTGTATAACCAAATTCATTATGTTACTTTTGTCCATTTTTACGTATAATAACTTTACTCTTTTGTAATTTTTAAGATCAAAATTATTGTTTGTTGTCATTTTTAAATGTAATTAATTTTGAAGTAAACAAATTTATATATAATAAGAAGAAAAAAAAAAGAAAAAAAAAATATATATATCAAAATCACAAATCAAATTAAATGAAAGGCAGCAGAGAGAAGAAAGAAATCTTATATCTACCATTTTTTCCCAAGAATAAGTTCATATAACAAAAATCTATATTATTAACAAAACAAAAACAAAAAAACAAGAACATCTAATCCCATATACAACAACAGTTTATATAGATAGACATTATACTGTTTCGAATTTCTTTAACAATCCAACTTTTATCATTTTCTTAAACGTACACAGTGATCCTGCATTTTTAACATCACTCCCCAAATTTTAAGACCTCACCTTGATGTTTCAGGACCAACTGCGGGGTCCCAGCCCCAGCTTTAAGAACTTTAAGGGGCCTGTGACCTGCTTATCCTTCAAATACAAAAGATCAAAGAAAACATATTTATATTTAAGAAAATTAGCATAATACACATGATTTTACCCATTTAGTCTCACAACTAGCATATTTTTTCTTGAATTTGGCTCAGCAAAGTGAAACAGGAAGTGACATCAAAGGGGATCTCTTTAAGAAAAGAAACTCTCTGGTCTTTATTTATTGAAAAAATCTTATTTTAATTCTTCAACTCTAATAGTGACTCAAAATAATCTAAAGAAACATCAGATTCTTCTCTAATTATTGTACCATTACTCTGTTTACATGCAGACATTCCCCTTTGACATCAKTTCCTGTTTCTTCACGTGCAAATATCTCAACCGCTGTTCATCTCAATGACGTGAAATTTGTTTTGCAATATGTTATCAATGTTATCTTTCCAAAAATGCATTCACATTTATTACAAAAATCTGATGTCACAGGCACTTTAAAGCTTTAGCTTCTTTAAAGTTTCAGTCTTTTGAAGATTTAATTCAATTAAAAGTTAGATATTTTTTTATCACTGACATTTTAATAATATAAATTAGTTTGTACTGGTTTCTTGTCATCAGATGAGGTTCTGGTTTTTAATGGTGGCAACAAGAACCCAGACTGTCTGAGCTCAGCCCGGCGTCTGAACCCTGCTTTCTGGGRTTTCCCCCGTGTGTCAGAAAATAACTCAGGTAAAGAGGTTTCCGGTGGTCTCCGGGGGTCGGGCCGTGTCTCTGAGCTGCACTGGAGTGTGGAGAGCGTAGTGGGGGTCATCCTCTGGCCATGTGAACAGGAAGGTGCGGGTTCACCGCGAGGGGGCCGAACCTCTGAGCTGTTTATCAGACGCCTAATGAAGCGACGCCAGCATGGGAGACCCCGGGAACCAAACGGGACGAGGAGGAGGAGGGGGTAACAGAGAAGCAGGGTGTGGTGAAGAGCAGGAGCTCCGTTATCGTCCTTACCGTCCCCCCCCCGAGTTTTTCGCCTTGCTTTAATCCCCGCTGCAACAAACCCCACACACGGCTTCATTTATTACACTTCCTGGTTCAAATCCGTCACTCAGCTCCTGCCGTAAACATTTTCTCTGGCTGCAGGAGAAGCAGCGCGGCCTTTCCCAGCTCCCGTCATCAGCTGCATTCATCAGCGTGAGCTTTACTTCATTACAAGTTCAAATAATCACAGAGTCACGAGATGAAAGCTCCGGAGGAGCCGCTGTTTGGTGTTTTAGCATTTTAGCATTTCCACTGATAATTAATTCTGTTCTCAAAGAACACGGAGAAACAGAAACAGTTTATAAACAGAAATATTAAACTCTTAGCTTGGATCAACATCTGGTTTTTACCTTTTTATATTTAATTATTCTTCTGCTCTTGCACTGCCAGCTCATCACTTATCCCCAGAAAAAATAAACATTTTATAGATTTATTTTGTTGTCTCATAAAATAAAGAAGCTGCCCAAACTGTGCAGCTGCTTCAAATATCAATCAGGCCTATTAAACTGGAGGCACGGGGGCCACATCCGGCCCTTAGGTGACCTCAGTCTGGCCCACCAATGAGTTCATTTAAAATGAAACTAGATTTTAGATTTTAAAAAGTTATAATTTACCAACATAAAATGATCTAATGGTCTTGTTTGAAAAGTATTGTTATTATTGTCATCATTAAGCTTTATTTAGTCTTAAATAATTATTTTGTTGGTTTATGTCTTAAAGCTTTCAGTTTTTTGATTCTATCAAAGCTAAGCTGAGGTATTTTAAATTATAGCAGCACCCGGGAGTGATAAATGGTTCAAATTAGGCTGAATTCACATGTTCTTCTTTGTAATATTCATTTACATTTACTTTGTTTATTACAATTTGTACCCAATTCATAAATCAGTAGCTGACAAAGAGCTCACACATTTCTGAAATTGTTCAATTTCTCCGACACCTTGAGCGTCTCAAAACACTGCAGCAGCTGGATGTGCTCTGATTGGCTCAGTCCCCTGTCACTCAAAGATTTAGGCGCCATCATTGGATCGTGAGGATCTGTTTTGTCCATCAGGGGCCTGAGGGTGAGAGGTCAGAGGTCAAGCTCAGGGGAGTCATCAGCACAGAGCAGCCGGATGACCCTGAACCGTTCAGAGATAGAAAGACTTCGGCTCCCTGAGGAAGTTCATTCATCACAGCTGCAGTGTGTGTTAGCATGTTAGCAAGTGTGTTGGCATGTGTGTTAGCATGTTGGCATGTGTTACCATGAGTTGGCATGTGTGTTGGCATCTGTTGGCATGTGTGTCAAAATGTGTAAACATGTGTGTTGCATGTTAGCTTGTGTTTACATATGTGTTAGCATGTCAGCATGGGTGTTGGTATGTGTGTTAAAATGTGTTAGCATTTGTGTTGCATGTTAGCATGTGTGTTGGCATCTGTTAGCATGTTAGCATGTATGTTGGCATGTATGTTGCAAGTTAGCATGTGTGTTTACATATGGGTTAGCACGATGGCATGTGTGTTTACATGTGTTAGCATGTGTGTTTATATATGTGTTAGCATGTTAGCATGTATGTTAGCATGTATGTTTACATATGTMTTAGCATGTTGGCGTGTGTGTTTACATATGTGTTAGCATGTGTGTTTACATAAATGTTAGCATGTTGGCATGTGTGTTAAAATGTGTAAGCATGTGTGTTGTCATGTGTGTTGCATGTTAGCTTGTGTTTATGCATGTGTTAGCATGTCAGCATGTGTGTTGGCATGTGTGTTAAAATGTGTTAGCATTTCTGTTGCATGTTAGCATGTGTGTTTACGTATGTGTTAGCATTTGTGTTGCATGTTAGCTTGTGTTTACCTATGTTAGCATGTCAGCATGTGTGTTTACATACGTGTTAGCATGTTGGCATATGTGTTAAAATGTGTTAGCATTTGTGTTGCATGTTAGCGTGTGTGTTTACATATGTGTTAGCATGTTGGCATGTGTGTTAAAATGTGTTAGCATTTGTGTTACATGTGTGTTATCGTGTGGTAGCATGTTGGCTTGTGTTTACATATGTTAGCATGTGTTACCATGTGTGTTAGCGTACTATATGCTGAATCAGTAACACAATTATTGCATACAGTTGTTGCAGCTGTGTCACAAACAGACATGAAGTTCCACGAGCATCAGGAGCCAAATGACCCGTCAGTCTGCTGATAGTTTGCTTCTCACAAAATTATTTAGATTAATGGAAAGCCAAGTTCAAACGTTGGTACAAACAGTGATGCAGCTCGTTTCGGCTTATTTCAGCTATTTAAGGCTGTTTGAGCCTCTCAGTTTGCCCGAATGCCTTCATGGCCACATGTGCATTCTTGTGTGTGGCAGCAGCAGTTCAGCGGGCCTGTGGGACCACCGTCCTGTTTTCCCACAATGTGCGTCCCACGAGCCCCCGCTGTGACGTCAGGACAGGGGTACGAGCGAGCGCCCCGCTCGGAGGTCGTAGGTTCACTTCCTGTCTGTCAGGATCGAGCCGGGCAGAGTCCAGAGCAGACTGTCTGCGTGATGTTTCTGTGGTCTGACCCTGTCTCTGTCTCCGTCAGGCGATGTGGCTGATGCTGCAACAGGAGGAGCCAGAGGATTTCGTCATCGCTACAGGGGAGGTGCACAGCGTCAGGGAGTTTGTGGAGAAGGCTTTCAAACATGTGGGAAAGACGATTATGTGAGTGAACGCACAAAACAAAAACATCAAGTCCATTTGATTGTTTTTTTTGTTGTAACAAAACCTTGACAAACTCTGAATTTAGCATTAAAAAAAATCAAGATGGCCGCCACAGCTAAATGGAAACTGTAATAACTCGGCCATTTTTAAAACACTTCGGTGTAAAGTTTGGTGAGGTGTTAGCTAAAAATGATCTCGATCACATATTGAAGCCAAATAAAAAATCCAAGATGGCCACCATAGCTATAATTATAACTCAGTCATTTTTAGACAAATGAGGCTCTAACTTGATGTGATGGTAGCTGAGCGCAAACACAACACATTGTAAAAGCTAATCAAGTTTAAGCTAACTGCTAATGCTAATTATAAAAACAGCTGATATTCAGCCATTTTTAGARTTACAGAGCTGAAAACTGGTATAGTAGTAGCCAGGAACGAGCTTTGACAAACTCTAAACACTAAATTAAAATTTAACATGGTCACTAATTTGAAACTTTTATAACTCGACCATTCTTAAAACACTTTGGGGTAAAATTTGGTGAAGTGTTAGCTAAAATTTAGCTCCGTCACATACTGAAAACAAATCAAAATCCAAGATGGCCACCATAGCTATAATGATAACTCAGCCATTTTTAGACAAATGAGGCTCTAACTTGATGTGATGATAGCTGAGCGCTAACACAACACATTGTTAAAGCTAATCAAATTTAAGCTAACTGCTAATGCTAATTATAAAAACAGCTGATYTTCAGCCATTTTTAGACTTACAGAGCTGAAAACTGGTATAGTAGTAGCCAGGAACGAGCTTTGACAAACTCTAAACACTAAATTAAAATCCAAGATGGCCACCATAGCTAAATGGAAGCTGCAATAAATCTGCCATTTTAATACATACAGTATTGGGCTGAAATTTGGTGTGGTGGTAGCTGAGAATGATCCTCATCACCTACTGAATCAAAAAAAAATCCAAGATGGCCGCTGTAGCCAAAACCTGTAATTAATCATATCTTGGACATTTTTAGACATATTTAGATGAAATTTGGGATGGTAGTAGATGACAGTGATCTACAAATAACTTATTTCTGATGAATGTGTGTCTTTTTTCAGCTGGGAGGGAAAAGATGAAAAGGAGCTCGGTCGTTGCAAAGAGACCGGGGTGGTCCACGTGAAGGTGGACCCAAAGTTCTTCCGTCCTACTGAAGTGGTGAGCCAGGTTTCTCTCAGTGTTTATTTTTATATAAATCTCACTCAAACATAAAGTTTCACACACTTAAAGGTAAACACACTTTAAGACCTGTTACATGTTAGAAAAGTTAAATATTTGATCAATATTTATAGCATTACAGTAAGAACATACCTAAAAAAGGCTMTGAGGTTGATTTTTTATAATTCAATCTTCTACATAAATATCTTTAAAATTTTCACAAGTTGTTTAAAATGTTATAGTGTGACAGGGCTTTAGCTGTTAGCCCTGGTGTCTGCAGTGATTTTACCTCTGGAGAGGCAACAAATTCCTGTTTTGATTCTAAAATATTACCCAAAAGATTCACACAGGTTTCTTACGGGGTCTGAAAAAGTCTAAAAAGGTCTAAAATTTGAAAATCTAAATTTACGGTGTAAAAAAGTCTTTAAAGGGGCAATATCATGTAAAATCAACTATTTTGAGTTTTATATCAGGTTATAATGTTATACTCTCATAAAAAAACATGCCCAAAGCCTTGCTTTGACTCATTCATGCATGTTTGAGAAATCCTGCAGTGTTTTTAGCAAGTCATGCTGAGGAGCAAAACGACAGGTGGGGACCAGTAACATCCCTGGGACGTGTCTTTAAGCCCATGACTCCTGCAGGCTCTCGGGTCAAAGTGAAAGTGAAACCTAACTGTCTTCTGAGCTGTCAACATTAGTTCTCACTCAGTTAAAAATACCTTTGAGGAAATGTCTTTACAGATGCCAAGTAAACTGCATCATGCAACCCCCCCCCCCCCCCCCCCCC